AAGCACTCACTTCACTGTCAAAACTTTCTAGTAAGCCTTCGTTCTTTGAGCGTATACATTTTCTGCATATAGTCTACTCTCGTTACAACAGACCATGATATTCTGGCAAAATAAGTCCGTTCTACAGTCGAAACCCGCAATAACGAAACCCCGTGAGTACGAAATCCCTGCGGCAACGAAATATTTCTGGACCCCCGGCGAACGTTCATAGAAGCCCATGTATTACGTATCTCGCGGCAACGAAATGTTTTTGGACAGCGATCCCGCATTAACGAATTTTCTACCACGGTGCTTTGCCATGGCGGGGCTGGGAGCTGGCTTCTTGGGCTCATCGGAAAGAGCATTTCTCTGTGTTTAACTTTCCCGCCTCAGCTCGCTCCTCCCTTTAAAAACAAGCACACAAAAAGCAAATGTTTGAAGGTTGTTTTGAGGCCCTTGATTGGCTGTGGCCGCCTTGTTGCCTCAGCTCGCCTCGCCATTGGCCCGATGCTCGCTCCGGGAGATCGTCGTCTGCTGCTTGTGCGTCGCGAGGACATGGCTCTCGAAAATTGCTACTTCGTGACGTGTTCACGGCTCGATGATCACTTAAGATATAATTACGCTTTAGTTAGGAGCAGTAGGCGGATGTGCAATCAGGTTACTACGAGCGCGTCATCGGAGTCGTCTTTAGCCCTCACTCCGCTGACAGCAAGACTGCGGGCAGGAACGACGCGCTAGCGCACTCGTGGCGACGTGCTTCGTCGCAAGCAACGAAGCTGTAAGCGGCGGCACGGTCAGATTACTACGAGTGGGCGCGCGGTCTACGAGCGCGGCGCGTCATCGGAGTTTGCTTTAGCCCTAACTCCGCTGACAACGAGACTGCGGGCAGAAACGACGCGCTAGCGCATCCAAAACAACCCGCGGGTTGTTTTGGATGCGCTGAACACCCTTCGCTTCCTCTTCGGCGCAGATGACGACGACGTAGCAATGGACCAGTTTTTCTAGTGCGAAGTGAGAGCTTTGAAGTTGTTGCATGGCAAGGGTCGGCAAAGTAAGTTGACCGACTTTGGCAATAAATTTTCGTTCTGCTGGCCGTATCACTGTTTTCATGTCTCATACACGCGGCAACGAAATTCTCGCGAAAACGAAACTTTTCGGTTTCCCCGGCGATTTCGTTATTGCGTGTTTCGACTGTATTCGAAGTCCGTAATATCCATACTTCGCGGTGAGACGGGGGGGGGGGGGGGGGGGGGTGCGTGCATGTGTCGTTGTGTGACCATTCCGATCAGCTTTATGGGACAGGCTAGGTCTGATGGTTCCATTCGCCAGCATGGTTACACAAGACTTCGATTACTAGCAGCGACTATTAACAAAATTGCAGCAAAGTGCTGTTACAGTATATGCAGGGACGCCATGTGGCTCCTGCTCAGCAGCAAAGCTTAGCCCGCTTATAAAACGCTTTTTCATCGGTTCCTGTTGATCTGCTTCGAATGAATTCTCTTTTGTGTGGACGCGAAGACATATCTGCTGAAGTAGGGCCTCTTATTGCTGGGAGCGATTTGACAGCAGTACTCATCTGCTAGGAGCACCGGAACATCTTGCTTTCAAATCATGGTTGCGATGTCTAACAGCGATACCAGAATGAGCGACGAATATCTAATGCAAAACACAAACAAAAGCTTTTTATTTACAACTACTTTGAAAAAATTAGTGATCAACGATTGACGAGCACCCTTGAGCGATGATGTCATCATTTTGCACCGCATTTCACTCAGCTGCAACACTTCAACACTGCAGTCAGCTTTACTGCAGGGGACTCGTCTTTTGATCACTGTCGTCTGATGACAGCTCAGAACGGGCTTCGATCGTCGCTCTCACCTCCTCATCAGTCAGCTCCTCATTGTCGATGACGTTGTTGTCCAATGTGACGAAGTCAGAGAAGCTGTCTGCCCCGTATGCCTCCCTGACTTGATTCCACACCAACAGGTCTGATGTTTCATCTGGTACAGACGACTCTTTATCTGCACTGTCATCGGCGCTGCCATCCTTTTGTTCAAAACCAGCCTTCCTGAAACAATTTCTACTTACTGTACCTCTGATTTGCTGCCAAACGCTCGCCAACTTTTCCACAGGAAACCTGACGTCTATTTTATTTATTTATTTACTTTTATTTACAGGTTCTGCAGGCCTATACTTAGGTCTATATTCGACGCCCGATTATTCTGCATGTCAAAGAGCAGGCGTTCGACAAGGCAAGTACGGTAGGCAGCCGTCACGGAATTCACGACTCCTTGGTCAATTGGCTACAGTACAGAGGTCGCATTTGGGGGAAAGTAAGCCAGCTCAATTGCTTCCATCTGGGGTGGTTTCATATGGCTGGGGCAGTTGTCCAGAAAGAGTAGCACCTTTCTCTTCTGCTTTGTCATCTCCCAGTCGAACTGCAATAGTCAGGCATTGAAAATGTCCTCCGTCATCCATGCCTTTGTATTAGCAGTCCACTCAACTGGCATGTTCTTTATGTCCCACAAGGTGTGAGGCTTTCCTAATCTCCCACAGTTTTCTCTTCTCGGTGTCGGTCATGTTATAACAAAATAATGTGGACAAGCGCTCCTTGGAGCGCTTATTGTGACAGTGACTTCTGGAAACTGTGGAAGTCCTATTTGGTTTGGCCTTATAAAATAAATCACTTTCATCTGCATTAAATATGCCTTTCTCGCTGTATCTGGAAAGAAGCGCCGGTAGCTTGTTGGTTTGCCATTCAGTGATGGCGTCGACACTCACGCTGTTGCGTTTACCGCAAATTTGCATGAATGTGACGCTGTGCCTTGCCTTGAAGCGCTTCAGCCATCAGTCGCTAAAAGGGACGCCGTCGTGTCCGAGGACCACAGCTAGCTGTTTGGCCCGCTTCCTCAGTAAGAATCCCTTCACTGGAATATTGTGAGATCGGGCATCACGCAGCCACACAAGTAGTGCGGACTCAATACGTCGCCTCGCTGAGCCTGAAGCGCTTGGGATTAAATTCCCCCAACACTTTTTTGCCAGCAATACTCCTATTATTCACAATTGAACTGCTTGGACAGTCTCATTGTTTTTGCGATGTCTGCCTGTTTCTCACCATGCCCAACCGTGTTCACTATCTTGAGCTTGTCATTCAGCGAAATTTGCTTCCGCTGGCTGGAGGCCATTACGCCGAAATCAGTGAATAGACAGAACAGTCAAGCACAGGAACACAGCGATGGGCGTCAACTAGCCACGTCCGTGCATAACGCTGCCAATGTGCTCAGACTGGCTTGGCTGGATAGAGGCTTGGCTTGGCCGAAAGCCACCAATGTTGCCAGCTGCAATTTAAAATTACCATGGCTTTAGCATGCTGAAAGTGGCGTGGTCAAATCTGTTATCAGCCCGTGTCAATGCGGCAAAAGTCTTCTATATGCGTGCAATTTTGATTAAAAAATGCCACTAATTTTGTCTCCTGTAGCCGATAGTCTGTTGTATTGCAGTCCGTTAAAGGCAAGCTTTGCTCCATTAAAGTCCATTGTGCCCAGGTCTGTTATAACGAGTGTAGATTGTACGATGTATGTATCCTACAACTGTGTGCCTATCGCCTAATGATGGTCTTTGATACAGTGATGCATTATCTATAAAAAGTTGGGCTGGTGATAGAATATACTGTGCTTGTAGGCAGTCACAAACAGAAGGTTCTCATTTTCTACAAATATTTTTTTAAGTAAGCTGTGGGCTTACTGATTTGGTGGAGTTTTTTTCACTGCAGCAGCAATTATACAAACTCTCTCGACAGGTTTTGCTTTTGTCCTCATGTTCCGTATAAAATGTCTAAATCAGTAACATGGCCCCATGTATCATATGTTCTATGTGTGAGCAAAAAGCGCAGAAGTGCTGGGAATGAAAACAATTGAAGCTGGCATGAAACGAGCCTGCCATCTCTCGCACCGAGGGTGCATGTGATAAAATCGCCCTCTGTTTGAGGCTGGTAGTCAATGGTTCCTCAAGCAGAGAGGAACCTGTCAGTTTTTCATAGGGCAAAGGAGCATGATGGGATGCCGTATCACACGAGCAATAACTGCAAACTTTGCTCATAAAGGCACGGTCACAAGTGCTCTCTTGACAGATGTCAGGAGACTGGCCGTGCTGTGACCACTTATTTTGCATTGAGGGAACATGCAGCATAAAAAACTTCTGTTCTATAGAGTGGCTGTATTCCCGTCAACCAGTGTTTTGATTATTTGTGCGAGATGAAATTCAAACAAAATAGCTGCTAGGCTTACTTCAGATAACATTCTAATTTGTTACTGATTTGTTTGCTATCAGATGCATTGCTTTTCCTTTGTGGTGAAACTGATTTTTCCCAACGTCTGCTCGCAGCACCCGTTACGTGGCAACAGGTTCTACGATGTTTTCACTTGTCAGTAGGGCTTTGCCTCAGTACACATCGTTATATCGCGATGATGCCATGGCTCTCTTCCATGTCATAATGCACACGAGTGTATGGCTGCCCTCTCATCGTTGGGCTTGTCTTTCTTTTCTTTAGAGCATCATTTCATGTTCACACAGTTACGAAAATTAGCACCAAGTACCCTTACTGTTGTGCTGCTTCAACAGATCCCAAACACCATTTCTTCTCCAAGTATACTCCAGTGCAACTCCTTTGCAAAGCCAAGTTCTAAACAGCCTGCACCTCTACTTTTTTATGCATACACATTACTTTTGCGTTTCCTTTAAGATGAATTGTGCTTTTTCTGGATACCAGATAGGATGCAAGATGAGTGTTTTGGGCCATATGCGCTGTCTCACAGTGATGTTTCTTTGGATTTTATCCTATGTTAATGACTTCTGTGTGCTCTCCTCCGTGGCATGGTGTACCGTCTTACTTCATTACAAGTAAACTCATTATGCCATTTGGCTATAATGCATAAAAGCCTTTCAACAATCTCATAGTGCTTTGTTACATGGTATATGTGTGTATATATGTAAACAAAGAGTCTTTGTACGTTCACTTGCAGAAAAAACACCAGATTCTTCAGTGTGCTCACCCATCACCACTGTCAGCTTCACGGGGTTTTTTTGGCTGCCGCCACTTTTCTAAGGCCAATGAATACCTGATAAAGCATCGAAAGCAACCAATTGATTGGAGCCGTTTGCCTTGACTTGTGCCAAGAACTCGAGAATTTAGATTTTATGTCTTATACCAGCATTTAATCATCTTTCTGTTTATAATAGCCCAGCATAAGCAGCTGTGCCATTGACAATTGAGTTTGTTTTTGCATCTTATTACATGTTGTTTCCAAATTCATTGTGCAATTGTTGTGTTCAATGTGTGAGTTGCCAAAGAAAAGTACCTGTACAATATTTTCAAGTGCATAGACAGCACTTGCATGTCAGTGTTTTTGAAATGTGCCTTATACAAAACTTCTATTTTACTGGCACTTTGTTAAAAACTCTTGTCCTTACAAGCCTAGCCAGGCATGCCATAACACATCTTTTTATATTTCATTATTTCACATGTCTTAGAATGCAGCACGACAAGTATATAGCTTTTCTTCTTATCACATGGTTGTAGGGGTATGTTCTTGCTGCAAAAGTATGTTCTCAATAAAAGCTTCAAATTGTGCCTGTTTATTCAAAGGCCTCCCTTTTATGATTCTGAAGCAAACTTGTTCATAAAAAGAGCGTGCTGTTCAAGGACATTTTTTTTCATGATTACATGATTCATTTACATTTTACATTCTAAGGTGCACTGTGATTCAATTCTATCTTGCAATAATCGGTTACATGTAATCATATACTTTGTTGATGGAATGACACCTGCCATGGTGGCATGGCATCACACTGCTAGGCATGAAGGCATGGTTTTGATTCAGATGTAGTGGTTGCATTTCGATAGGCGTGCATGCAAACGCGCCTGGGTAGGTGCATCTCAAAGGAGTCTGGATGGTTTAAATTAATGCGGAGTACCCCGGGAGTGGACGCGCATGCGCAGTGTTAAGTGGACGCTGGGGAAAGGAGTGAGGGATGTACACGGCCACCGTCATAAGCTGCTTTGCATCTAAAATGAAAAATGGCATAAAAAAATTCCGCATATCCCCAAGCGTGCAGGATATGCCAAGCAAGTTAAATCATAAAAATAGGCCTGTGTCGTAAAACAGTCGCCCCGCAGGCGCCCTTGGATGCGCAAGCAGTAGCCAACGCCGCTTTGCGAAGCATTAAAAAAAACAACGAGACGAAGAGATGTAAATTATAGGCCTTATGCAAAATTTCTGCCATCTGTCGGCCGTTGTGCGTATAGCCGCCATGTTAGAGGCTCCGCGCGGCGCAGTACTATAGTGTACTAGAATATTCTAGTACACTATAGCAGTATGCGCAGGCCCGCGTGTGTTTACATAGATGTATACGTAAGGCGTATCGACGTGAGGCGTGTATTGGCTGATAATCGCAATGCCGACGTATTGCTGCGTCACTTGCAGCACACAGAGAGGAACTCGGAATGCTGAAGTGAAAAGGTAAGTCGCAAACTTTGTCCCCCCCTCCCCCCCTTCTTTCTTTCAAGCTGATGGCGTTTCCAGCATGCGCTCCGGCTGCTGCTGCCGAAATACGTGTTTGCTGCATTCTTCTTTTTATGCAAGTAAGACGTTCAATAATTGTTAAGGGCGACGGCGGCGGCGGCTGACAACTACGACACCGCGCGTGACCCGTGTTCTGATCTCATAACAGCTTTCGCTGTAAATAAAAAATTATAGCACATCCACGGAATGAATTATGACTGCACCGAAGCGTCCGTTCGTGCGTCAGTCCATCCGTACCTGCGCCCGTTTGTGCATGCACCTGTCCGTCTGCTTGTCTGTCTGTCCATCCACCTAGCGAACACTTCAAGTACCACCACTTCGCTTCTGTTTATCATATATTCATCATATACAAGTACCACCCTCCCGTGGACAATCCAGGGACTAAACGAGAGTATAAACCACATTTATGCTGTCAGCGCTTTGTTAACACCGAGAGCGTGATAACGATGCCATGCTGCGTTTTCTGTAACATGTGGACATGCGGATATGTGCCAGAGGGTGGGTATATGCCACAGGTTTCGTACTACGAAAGCGGGACACATAATCCACGTCATAAGGAGCTTCGCCTCTAAAAAATGTACTCAGGGATATCAATTCGCATTATATGTTTACACAGTTGCCTCACAGCAGAAGTAACCAGTGAGGAGATGCATCAAAAATAAGTTTCACTCGTACACAATCACAAGCCTTTGGCGAATAACAGTGCCGCGTGTGTGCAAACTCTTTTAGGGGCGAAGCTCCTTAGGGCGTGCGCTGTGCGTCCCCTGTAGCCTGTATGTAGCCACCTCTAGTTTAGTTCTTGCAGTGTTCACTAGATGGCGGTACCGTCCCCTGTATGTAGCCACCTCTAGTTTAGTTCTTGCAGTGTTCACTAGATGGCGGTACCGTCTCCTGTATGTAGCCACCTCTCGTTTAGTTCTTGTAGTGTTTACTAGATGGTGGTACTTGTAGCTGATGATGAAAAGATGCAAGATGTTATAAACTAGAAAGCGGTACTTGTAGTTGATGAAAGACGCGAGATCTTATAAAATAGGAATGATGTCACATATGGCGCGTGTCATTGGTTGAAGGCAATCGTTCGATTTAGTGCGGCGACGTACGCTAGGGGGAGCGTTGTAATAAAATCCGTTCGCTGTTGGCGCGCGCTCGGAGTCGCCGGATGGATAAGGCTGCACAGCGGAGAGAGCGCAAGGCGGCAGCAGCGCGCGCTCGCAGACAGAATCCCGATGTGCGAGCGCGCGAGGCAAGGGACATCGCAAGCCATCCATCGTCTAAGAACAAATAAAAGTTTATTTGTGTATATACACACACAGCGTTTCTCACGTCTTTACATGATGATCGACTGGGCGAATTACATGGAAGATTCACAGTTTACCGATGAATCCCTCCGGAGCTTCGCCCATTCATCATCATTCACCCCGTGAATATGCCGTAATTTTTTTTATTATGGGTGGGGGGGGGGGTATTTGCTTTTTTTTACGTCCTCGTTTGAGAAGCTCCTGGATATCCGGAGTAAACGATCCTTGGAAAACTTCCAATCCTTCATCTGATATATGCTCTGCTCCATTATATGGTCAATAAAATTCTGAGATGCCTCAATAAAATTTTTAAAGGCCCCATTGGTATACTGCTACGATGTCTTACCGTTCTTTTCAGCTGTTAATTGTACCTCGTTCGCGAATTATTCAGTTCTTTTTTGCCTGTACCACTCCTTTGTGGGTGAAGGTTGGGGTTGGTGGGATTTTGACAGCTCCATGAATTAGAGGCACTTTAGGTGAAAGTATTTCCCCGACTTTTCAGAGGAGCTCGCTTCCTTTTTCTCCTACAGGAGGGCTCCGGAGCCCTCCAGAGTGGAGGGCTCCGGAACTTCGACCACCTGGGGTTCTTGCACCCAAATATGAGCACACGGGGGAAGGGGGGGGGCTACAACATTTCCACCTTCATCGAAAATGCAGCCGCCGCAGCCGGGATTCGATCCCGCAACCTGCGGTTCAGCAGCCGAGTACCTTAGCCACTAGGTGACCGCGGCGGGGCGCACAGACATATGTTGAAGAGTTGCAGATGTTTATATAATCAGTTGTTTGCCCTTGCACAACGATGCCATCTGGAACATGCGTACGCCAGAAGCTGATATAAAGCGCTGATGATCGCGAGGATGCTGGCCCTAGACACTGCTACATAAATTAACCTCAGAGCATGGCAACTAACCACAATTGACGTTAACCCGACGTGACGGCTGTATCAAAGGAGCACACATGTACTGTTCATAAAATTGGGTTGGCAGCACAGCAACTACTGTTGACGTATCACGAAGATTAGCGTCTATTTGAAAATTAGTTCCAAGACTTGGCGTAGCTCTGTGGTAAAATGCTTCACTGCCACGCAGAATGCTCTGTTCGATTCCAGCTGGGACCCCGACATTTATTCTTTGCATTCGTCGGGTCGACGCTACCGATGTGGGGTATTTCTTAACGGTCGCGCGTTAAAATTGCCCATGTGTGTTCTCGTCGTTCTGGGGTAGATACTAAGTGTGAATATTCGGTGGCACATGCCCGCATACCGGTGGCACATACCCGCCCGTGGGTATGTGCCACTGTCTGGCGGGAAGTGTTTGACGACGTACGCGACGGGATTGGGACATTATTCATGTCTTGACCAGCGTGTCATATTCGTCAAACCATCTTACCCTCCCATGCTAACTTTGGTTCACGCCAAGTTAAGGGGCTGACCACGAGAGCACCCAAACGTAAGCGGCTAGATAGATACACTCAAAGTTACCAAAAATACTTGGCATTTAAAACGAAGCACTCGATATTTGTATTATAGGCACACTAACGTACTGGCTTCTGTAAGTGCGCACGGAAACGATGCAAACATGATAGTAATGTTGCAAGCCCGTCGTCTTGTTATTTACCGTGTCTCATCGAATCGGCATGCCTCTACATGTGTACTGAACATACGTCGTCATTCTTTTTTGGCACTTAACCTTCTCGCCTCAGAGCGCACTCCCATGTGCCGCACAATATGACGTCTTTGGAATTCCGAAACATAAAAAAATTATTCAAAGTGTCTCTGTGCACCTGGACGCCAAAATAAAACCCATTTACTCGCGAATGCAGTCATAGTCGCGAAAATATGTGAGGAAAAGCGAGTGAGCAAAAAAATGCCTACTTAGACATATAAAGTTGTCCCGGAGTCCGCTTTACCCGATTCGCGTAGCCAAATGCTGCCCAAGAGCCCACCATCGTCGTCTCAAAAAATGATCACAGACGTGTTCAGAGCCATCTTGTTCTATTAGAGGCACCACACGCAACATTACTAGCACAAAAACAACGCGAAAGCCACGTACACCACAATGCACCCATCCACTTTCTGCCCTGAGCAATATGGCGGCCGTCGGCTTCAGCCACGGTACAGTGTAGCCGCGGAGCCCCTCCGCCACTCCAGAAGATTTAGTATAACCTCCTTGAAGCGAGCAAACTTTGACCAAGGCACATACATGCATAACCGCTCTCGAGCGGGTATGTGCCACCGGTTGGCTACGCACAACATCGGAGGATGTACAGACCCACGCCTTAAGGAGCTTAGCCCCTAAAATCAAAACTGCAATATATTGTCACGGGGGTGAGAGAATGAATCAAATAAATATATTTACAAAATATACAGGGAGAGTCAGAGGCAGCTGCAGCCAAGATGGAAGAACAGCAGCAACAACAACACGAGCACGGTCGCTTTCATCGTCTTCGTCGTCTATGATGCTCTTTCGTTGCCGATGTCGTGTAACATAACATATAACCCCCCGCTGCTGGCAGCGCCATCTCGGCGCCTAAAGGAGAGTAGGATCATATGCGGATATGTACGGTTTGAGGCGGCTCACGTGGACGACGTCAGTAGCGGGTGCGGACGACGATGACTGACTGTCCAACGGAGCAATCTCGTATGTGACATCGGTAAGCCGGCGTAAAACCTTGTAAGGCCCCGAGTAGCGAGACAGGAGCTTCGAAGAGAGGCCAACGTGGCAGCATGGTGTCCAGAGGAGAACCAATGAACCTGGAGA